GCGCAACTGACACATGACGGAGGCCCTGTTAGGGTATATTTTCCGCCTCGATAATTTAGGACCGTTATTCGGAGGATAGCCAAGATACGTTTTATGGTGATAGGGTTAATGGGTTTTTTTTTAAAAACAAGTTTGACGAAGTCTTCTTTGCATAGACCAGCCGTAAACTGACAGAGAGCTCTGGTTGTTTGTCCACCTCTGGACTTCAGTCTAGTTCCAGAACCTGAGTTGTATGCATGGCTGGTGCTGTCACCATGGACCTTTGAGGTTTAGGTTTGAAAAAAATTCCAAAACTACCAAGGATTTCAAAGCCAGACGAGAGCCATGCATCCAAAAATATGAATAAAATGTCAAAACTTTGGAAATTTTACCTCTTTCTGACGTTCGGCAAACTTTCTGGCCTCTTCGTCATGCTGGGCCTGCATCCTTAACCGGGCCCTCTCCATGGCTTCTAGCCGGTCTTGTACTGCACCGGTATCTGCAAACCAAGCAGTGTTTTATCATTTCAGCATGTGAATCGTAAGTTAACATTGACTGGCACTTGTAGAAAGAAGCAGAGATGTGAAGATATGGAGAGGCAGTCTTTTTGAGGCTATTCTCCGAATAACGGTCGTAAATAATCGAGGCTGAAAATATACCCTAACAGGGCCTCAGTCATGTGTCAATCGCACACTTCCGTCTTAAAATTTGCGCTTACGGCGACTTCCGCCACCATCGAACTGCGAACTTCCGCCACCGCCGAGAGTGTTCCCCACACCGCTCACGCGGCATAAATTGGGGCTAAACTAGATGGCTAGGGCTCACGAGCAGCAGCTAGCTCATCTCCTACAGCTTCCTTAATTTTATTTGCTCATGAGTCCTAGCCATCTAGTTTAGCCCCAATCCACGCCAGGTGAGCGGCGTGGGGGACACCCTCGGCTGTGGTGGAAGTTTCCGGAAGTTCGCAATTCGGCGGTGGCATTATAGTCACCGAAAGTGCGCAGCTGACACGTAAATGAGGCCCTGTTAGGGTATATTTTCCGCCTCAAAAATTTACGACCGTTATTTGGAGGACAGCCCTTTAAAATATGCTCCAATCCCCATGTGGGTTCCAGGGCCCCATTGTAGGGAAAAGAATAGACCCACAACAGGCATGTTGGAGTCGACTGATTGGGGACATCCTTTGAAGTCAGAGTACATCTGCGTGAGAGGTCAGGAACCACAAGTCTGCATTCAAACAAGCCAGATCAGGACTACCTTCCAAATAATGGTCCCAAATTGTCGAGGCCGAAAATATACCCTAACAGGGTCTTAGTCACATGTGAATGCGAACTTCCGCCACCGCCGAGATATCTCCCACGCCGCTACGCGTGGCGTGGAGTGGTGCTAAACTAAATGGCTGGGACTCACAAGCAAATAAAAGGAAGGAAGCTGCAGGAGATGCGGTAGCTGCTGCTTGTGAGCCCCAGCATTCTTGTTTAGCCCCAATTCATGCCGCAAGTAGCAGCGTGAGAGATACTCTCCGCGGTGGCGGCCAGAAGCGAGCAATTGAAGTCGCGTGACTGAGGCCCTGTTAGGGTATATTTTGGGCCTCGATAATTTGGCGCCGTTATTCAGAGATAGAACAGATCTGTAAAACGGATAGGCAGGCAACACTCAGGTCCTGGAGAAAGACAAAGTCCAGAGGTGGAATGAAGACCTAGAACTTTCTGCTAGAGTTTACAGCTGGTTAACAAAGATTTAAGGCAAGATAATCCTTAATATTGTGTGGGGACGGGGCATCTGTCCACTGATAGTAAACAGTTAGTGGATCCCGAGTATACTTTTTCATTACCAATTCAGGTGTTGAGAGAGGAGTAATGTCCTCCTTGCTTGTCTGGCTGCCTTGACCGTAGACATGGTGCTGCAGACAAATTTATGTTATCTTTTCCAACTTTTTTGTCTACCTTGTACTGTGCATTCTCTTTTAATGTATGCCTTGTAAGTATAAGAGAGCTTCCATGGTGTAGTGGCTAGATGCCTGGCTGTTGATCTGAAAGTGATGGTTCAAATGCAAATGTAACTGGCCTTTTTTTTTCAAAAGTTACTTTAGCTGCTGGAGTGACCAGAAGAAAACCAAAATGTCAAAAAAATTAACATAAAAGGCTATCCTCCGTATTACGGTCCCAAATTATCGAGGCCGAAAATACACCCTAACAGTGCCTCAGTCACGTGTCAATTTCAGACTTCCTGGGACTATACCGCCACCTCCAAGAGTATCCCCCACGCCGCTCACGCTTAGAACCGATTCTAAATTACATAGAGACTGAATCAAATGGTTTGTCCACTTACCAAACACTGATGCTATTGCTGGACAAAAGGGAACTTTTCCGTGCCTTTAGGCGTATTGGGCATATAGTGCTATACCTATATTTTCAGACCAAATCAGCACTCAAGTGGGTGATGTGGTCAACAGAACCATCCAGATTTGAGCCCATGACCTTTGGATCCGCAGTAGAGCGTCTGCTATACCACAACAGGTTCCCCAAATGATAAACCACATCCTACAATAAACTATACTAGGCACATTGGCTTGGCTTTTTATACCCCACCAGGACATCACACAAGCGATAAACACCCGATGACACAAAGTGCCACCATGCGGATGAGGATCACCGTGGAGAGGTCCCAGAAACCGCGTTCAGACATTTGGCCATAATGATGACCTGCCTATATTGCGGCCCCTGGCAAAAGCCAGAGTGGGGCTTCAAATAACAAAAAATAACGTCCTAAGAAGGACGTACGACATATATACTAGGCACATTCCGAGAAGGAGCTGGAAGAGAATCACCAAGCAGGCTGTGAAATGGGAAACAAACGGATTGAGGCATTCCAACAGAAACCCGAAAAACACTAGCGAGAAGCACAATATTAAATCAGTTGTGGATCTTCTATAACAGTATTCGGTCAGCCGACTGAAGTTTTTTGAGATTTTTTTTATCAGGTTACATAGCTTATTAAATGAAGGGGATCATACGTGGGGATGTTCCCAGTCTAGGGGAGACCATTCTTGATCCACTCATCCATCCATCCAATCATCCATCAATTCATGCATCCATTTATTCATCCATCCAATCATCCATCAATTAATTCATCCATCCATCTATTCATTCATCCATCCATCCATTCATGCATCCATCCATCCAATCATCCATCAATCCATCCACCCATTCATGCATCCATTTTTCATCCATCCATCCAATCATCCATCAATTAATTCATCCATCCATGCACCCATTTATTCATCCATTCATCCATCCATCCATATATCCAATCATCCATTCATTCATCCATCCAACCAATCATCCATCCATCCAATCATCCATCTATCCATATATTCAGTCATCTTGAGTAAATTCACTGTGCCCATGTTGATGTGCACACATCCAGCAAGACTGCCAGCTTGTACAGCCCATTAAAAAGATTAACTGACCCCAGTGCATCAACACTAATCATGGAACTAAAGAGAAAAGCCCCTAAAAAGTCAAAAGTATCACAAGAGCTCATCAGTCGTTCAAATCCGTGAAACAATTACAAATATCCCCAAAAGAGGAACGTGAATGCACTGTAGCCAACCTAGAGTGTGCAGATGACAAAGAATTTGTTTAAAAAACATCTAATGTATCTTTTTCAGAGCCTGACTTTCAAAAATGACCTTGGCTCCCAGGTCGACCCAGCCTTGAGCGGGTACAGGGTGCAGTCCCGGGAAGTAAAGGCGGCCAGCGTGATGCTGACCACATCACCCATCTTGTGCCAACTGGTCCATAAAATATAGGTCTAGCCCTATATGCCCAAAGGAGTGGAAAAGGGGTCCGTTACTTTTGCTACTAGATCCTTTCACCAAATGTCTAAGGAGAACGAACATAAAATGGGGATGGATACAAAAGGGGTCAAATGTCTAGACAACCACTAGGGGGTAGGGTAGATGGCGCTATACTAGACATATTGGTTCTTGCAATAACGGTCGCTACTTGGACGGCGACGGACAAGGCACGAATCACAAAACAGTTCAACATGGCGTCTAGACCACACGCTGCGACTCACATTGGCCTAACCCTAACCCTACCCCTAATTATGTCATTTGTGTCGTTCCATATTTTCCACTCCGTAATTGCACTGCAGCCAGGGGACTGAACTCCGACTAAGCGGCCGTCGCCATCCAAATAGGGACCGTTATTGCAAGGAGAGCCGACATATTCTGAAAACAGACCAGCAGTGAATCACCAGCAGTGAAATGGGAAATAAAAGGACTAAGGAAGCGAGGACGCCTAACGGAAACCCTAAAACCAACGTTGACCAGAGAGGCGGCCAAAGTTGCTGGACTTTCATCCATGATACTGAACATACTGCTTAGTATAAAACAATTGAGACCGCAATCCCATGTCGCAGAGAATGGCACAACATAATGAATGAAGTTTGAACAACGGATCAACATCATGTCACACGGATGTAACCCCTTAACCAACGGATGTAACCCCTTAAACAACGGATGTAACCCCTTAAACAACGGATGTAACCCCTTAAACAACAGATGTAACCCCTTAAACAACAGATGTAACCCCTTAAACAACAGATGTAACCCCTAAGTGCTCCGTTCTTTTTCTAACTCAAGACCGAGTCCGAAAAAGTTCAGCACAGTGCACACATGTTCTGTAGAACTGACGAGGATCCTCTAATTTGAAAAGATAAATTCCACATTTTGCAAAAAAAATGCACATGAGCCTCCGATCTCACTACCAAGTCTAGTCTAAGTCCAGGTGAAATTCTAACCCTTACCGGGTTTTGAACCCGGAACCTCTAGCACTAGAGGCGAACATCATGCCTCGAGATCACGTAGCCCCCTTTTAAGAATTATGAATGAATGAATGAGCTAGACAGACACTTTAGTAAAGTCACCTTACCAGAACTGCAAAACTAAGCTTCACGCTTTCTTCCAGCTACCAGCTCCACGAACAGCCTGCCCGTCGCCTTGAGCCACCAAAGACCAACTGACACAAACAGACAGTAGAACGACAAACAGCGGCCCTTGCCGTGAGCTGTTGTCTGTTGTCCCACGTGAAAGTTCAGGTGTAGAGCCAGAAAGGAGAAATTTGCGAGGTAGACGGGAGTAGTGGTCATCACAAAATGTGCTTTTACGTTTTACGTGCAAGAGGGGATGTGAACGTGCGGTAGTCGGACTGACAGCTAAACATCGTACCGATGTGGTGGGATTAGGTTTGATGTCCGAGGAATTATTATTAGAGGTCACGGGGGGAGGGGGGGGGGGAGAGAGAGCGACAGAGAGAGAGAGAATGAACTAACTTTACTTTCAAAGAGTAACAGAGAGAGAGAGAGAGAGAGAGAGAGAGAGAGAGAGAGAGAGAGAGAGAGAGAGAGGCAGAGAAAGTGAGAGATATTGGACGCACTTTATTTTCAAAAAGTAACAAATTTGGAACGCAGGCCCATCTCACATTCGGCCTTCCTAACATCCATTTTATTTTATCCGTAAAGAAAGAATGTTATGTTCATATGAGAGAGAGAGAGAGAGAGAGAGAGAGAGAGAGAGAGAGAGAGAGAGAGAAATTCGAGGGGGAGAGAAGTGGGAATTATTTCTAAGATTTTATATAATATATATATATATATATATATATATATATATATATATATATATATATATAATATATATATATATATATACATACACACGCACTCACATATAAAACACAACACATTATATATATATATATATATATATATATATATAGAGAGAGAGAGAGAGAGAGAGAGAGAGAGAGAGAGAGGGGGGGGGGGGGGGGGGGTGATGGCAGAAAGCGAGAAAGAGAATCAACCTTTTGAACACGAGGAATATTTTAAAAAAATTTAGGGCGGAAAGGGGGAAGGGTCTCCTTCCTTCAGGCTAGGAGAGATGGAGTGATGAAGATAGCAAACAAAGGGGCAACTAGTCCAGCTCTTGAGAACACACCTTCCGTCACTCGGTTGAGGACCATATTCACGTCAGTTCTTTATCAGATGATTGATTGATTTGATTCAAAAACATCAAAGCACTCGGGACATTCCCATAAGCGCTCTGCCCTCATCATCAGCAGCCAACGAAGAGTTCCGATACTAATGGTGCCAGTAGCTTTCTGATTAAACATCCGTCTTGCCTTTCCTCTAAGCCTCGAGCATCTGCAAGAACCTCTCGTCACTCCCCGCTGCATCAATCTCATCAGACTGTGGTGATCCATCTGCTGCTCTGCATTGTACACGCTCTCCCACAAGGCACTAACCACGTCTGCCTTATCATGTATCAGTATACCACCAAAGTTGTGCAGAGCCAGCCAGTCTGTCTACCTGTTCATTTCCAAACACACCGGCGTACCCGGTGCTTGACCTGTACTTTACAGACCAACCAGCACTGGGAGGCTGATGTGGTCAAAGCCACGCCAGCCGCTTTTACTTCCCATGAGCCAGCTGGCAAGTAATGCAAACGGGAAGAAGCGTGGACAGTTCTAATGAATCAGCGCTGTACAGATTAGGTCCGGGGCGAGGGTCATGCTAAACCTCGGCCGCTAACACGATTGCATGACTTGGCAGCAAAGTGTGGTAAAGCCCGTCTATGTCGTCTTGGAGGTCAAGAGAGGAGACACTATAACCAACTTCTCATGAGAACGAACAAAATTTACTTTCAAAGGGTCACAAATTAGGCATGCAGGCTCGTCTTACATTTGGCCCTTCCAAATACCCATTTTCACACCATCTTTCTGACATATAGGAATATTTCTCAATATGTCACGTATCTCATACTGCACAAACAGGAATATCCCTTAATTTGTTACATATCTTATACTGCACAAATGGGAATATCCCACAATTTGTTTTGTATCTTACACTGCACATACGAGAATATCCCTCAATTTGTTACGTATCTTACACTGCACATACGAGAATATCCCTCAATTTGTTACATATCTTATACTGCAAAGATAGGAATATCCCTCAATTTGTTACACGTATCTTATACTGCACATATAGGAATATCCCTCAATTTGTTATGTATCTTATACTGCACATATAGGAATATCCCTCAATTTGTTACACGTATCTTATACTGCACATATAGGAATATCCCTCAATTTGTTACACGTATCTTATACTGCACATATAGGAATATCCCTCAATTTGTTACACATATCTTATACTGCACATATAGGAATATCCCTCAATTTGTTACACGTATCTTATACTGCACATATATCCCTCAATTTGTCATGTATCTTATCCTGCACATATAGGAATATAACTCAATTTGTTACGTTTCTTATTCTGCACATATAGGATTATCCCTCAATATTTTATGTATTTAATACTGCACATAAAGGAATATCCTTCAATATGTCATGTATCTTATACTGCATATATAGGAATATCCCTCAATATGTCACGTATCTTGTACTGCATATATAGGAATATCCCTCAATTTGTCATGTATCTTATACTGCTCATAAAGGAATATCCTTCAATATGTCATGTATCTTATACTGCACATATAGGAATATCCCTCAATATGTCACATATCTTTTACTGCACATATAGGAATATCCCTCAATATGTCACGTATCTTTTACTGCACATATAGGATTATCCCTTAATATGTCACGTATCTTATACTGCACACATAGGAATATTCCTCAATATGTCACGTATTTTTTACTGCACATATAGGAATATCCCTCAATATGTCACATATCTTATACTGCACATATAGGAATATCCCTAAATTTGTCATGTATCTCATACTGCACATATGATAAATATCCCTTAATTTGTCAAATATCGTATACTGTACACATGGGAATATCCCTCCGCTTAAGTACGCATTCTTCATATCTGTCCTCTCCTCCAGGACCAAGATGTATGACTCGATCTAGCGAGAAAGAACCAAATTTCTTTCTGTGACCTTAAAAAGGCATTTGGCATACTGTATGTGGCTTACAGCTAGGCTGAGATATCCGCACCTTTCAGCCTAAAACATCAGATTTCAGCAAACTTTTAATGAATATCCTTTTAACCACGGATCAACATCATGCCACATGGGTAGTAACCCATAAGCGCTCCATTCTTCTTCTAACTATAGTCTGAGTCCAAAGTAGCTCAGCGCAGTGCATAGGCTCCGTAGTACCAGCGAGGATCCTGAAATATTGTGGGTAGCTTTTTAACTCCAAATTTTGCAGAGGCAGTGCCGTTAGGCTACTCTTTTCAATTTCCAACTGCCAAGGGATTTTTTTACGTGTGCAACAATACACACGGGCGTCCGATCTCACTACCCAGAGACCAGGGAAAATGACTAGAAGTCCACGTGAACAGAAAAATTCCCAGCCTTCACCAGGACTTCTAGCACTCTAGGCTGACACCATACCTCGGGGCCACACAGCCCGCCCCCCAAGAAAAATGAGGAAAAGGGACAGATAAGGAGGACAAGAGGAGGAAGAAGGAAGGAGATGAAAAATGAGGAGGAAGATGAGGAGAAAGCAAAGAGCAGGAAGCTCAACTATAAATGGCTGAAATATCCACAGACAAAAAACAGTGAGAAACAACTGAAAGAATCTTCTAACAGAACTCACCCATTTTCTTGTAGCTGCTTGTAACATTGTGCTGTGTGTAGTTCTGAAGCCAGGGCTTGACTTTACTGCCGATGTACAGAACTGCAACCACCACAAACAAGATGGTCCATCCATACAGCTGGAGAACCCCTGTTACTGTCAACAGATGATAAACAGATAGAATAATGTCACAGACTACACCCATGTGACATGAGGGGATTATGCATGATAGTGTTGGGAAATAAAGAAGCAGATAGACTGGCTGGTTGTGCGCTAGAGGGTGGTGAGCTGATGTATGGCAAAGTCTGCACCATTAAGTGGTAAACTGATAGATGGCTGTTTCTGCTCTACCGGGGGATGGATGAAGGGTTCTGTTTTACTGGGTGAATTGACACATGGCTGGTTCTGCAACAGTGGATGCAGTGATGGATGGCTGGTTCTGCAACAGTGAGTGAAGTGATGGATGAATGGTTCTGCAACAGTGGGTGAAGTGATGGATGGCTGGTTCTGCAACAGTGAGTGAAGTGATAGATGAATGGTTCTGCAACAGTGAGTGAAGTGATGGATGAATGGTTCTGCAACAGTGGGTGAAGTGATGGATGGCTGGTTCTGCAACAGTGAGTGAAGTGATGGATGAATGGTTCTGCAACAGTGGGTGAAGTGATGGATGAATGGTTCTGCAACAGTGGGTGAAGTGATGGATGGATGGTTCTGCAACAGTGGGTGACGTGATGGATGGTTCTGCAACATTGGGTGAAGTGATGGATGGATGGTTCTGCAACAGTGAGTGAAGTGATAGATGGATGGTTCTGCAACAGTGGGTGAAGTGATGGATGGCTGGTTCTGCAACAGTGGGTGAAGTGATGGATGGCTAGTTCTGCAACAGTGAGTGAAGTGATAGATGGATGGTTCTGCAACAGTGAGTGAAGTGATAGATGGATGGTTCTGCAACAGTGAGTGAAGTGATAGATGGATGGTTCTGCAACAGTGGGTGAAGTGATGGATGGCTGGTTCTGCAACAGTGGGTGAAGTGATGGATGGCTAGTTCTGCAACAGTAAGTGAAGTGATAGATGGATGGTTCTGCAACAGTGAGTGAAGTGATAGATGGATGGTTCTGCAACAGTGGGTGAAGTGATGGATGGCTGGTTCTGCAACAGTGGGTGAAGTGATGGATGGCTAGTTCTGCAACAGTGAGTGAAGTGATAGATGAATGGTTCTGCAACAGTGGGTGAAGTGATGGATGGCTGGTTCTGCAACAGTGGGTGAAGTGATGGATGGCTGGTTCTGCAATAGTGGGTGAAGTGATGGATGGATGGTTCTGCAACAGTGAGTGAAGTGATGGATGGGTGGTTCTGCTACAGTGGGTGAAGTGATGGATGAATGGTTCTGCAACAGTGGGTGAAGTGATGGATGAATGGTTCTGCAACAGTGGGTGAAGTGATGGATGGATGGATCATTCTGCAACAGTGAATGAAGTGATGGATGGGTGGTTCTGCAATAGCGGGTGAAGTGATGGATGGATAGATGGATGGTTCTGCAACAGAGAGTGAAGTAATGGATGGCTGGTTCTGCAACAGTGGGTGAAGTGATGGACGGATGATTCTGCAACAGTGAGTGAAGGGATGGATGGATGGTTCTGCAACAGTGGGTGAAGGGATGGATGGATGATTCTGCAACAGTGGGTGAAGGGATGGATGGATGGTTCTGCAACAGTGGGTGAAGGGATGGATGGATGGTTCTGCAACAGTGGGTGAAGGGATGGATGGATGATTCTGCAACAGAGAGTGAAGTAATGGATGGCTGGTTCTGCAACAGTAAGTGAAGTGATGGATGGCTGGTTATGCAACAGTGGGTGAAGTGATGGATGGATGGTTCTGCAACAGTGGGTGAAGGGATGGATGGATGGTTCTGCAACAGTGGGTGAAGGGATGGATGGATGGTTCTGCAACAGTGGGTGAAGGGATGGATGGATGATTCTGCAACAGAGAGTGAAGTAATGGATGGCTGGTTCTGCAACAGTAAGTGAAGTGATGGATGGCTGGTTATGCAACAGTGGGTGAAGTGATGGATGGACGGTTCTGCAACAGTGAGTGAAGTGACGGATGGATGGTTATGCAACAGTAGGTGAAGTGATGGATGGCTTGTTCTGCAACAATGAGTGAAGTGATGGATGGCTGGTTATGCAACAGTGGGTGAAGTGATGGATGGCTGGTTTCTGCAACAGTGAGTGAAGTGATGGATGGATGGTTATGAAAACAGTGAGTGAAGTGATGGATGGATGGTTATGAAACAGTGAGTGAAGTGATGGATGGATGGTTATGAAACAGTGAGTGAAGTGATGGATGGATGGTTATGAAACAGTGAGTGAAGTGATGGATGGATGGTTATGAAACAGTGATTAAAGTGATGGATGGGTGGTTATGAAACAGTGAGTAAAGTGATGGATGGGTGGTTATGAAACAGTGAGTAAAGTGATGGATGGGTGGTTATGAAACAGTGAGTGAAGTGATGGATGGCTGATTCTGCAACAGTGAGTGAAGTGATGAATGGATGGTTCTGCAATAGTGGGTGAAGTGATGGATGGGTGGTTATGCAACAGTGAGTGAAGTGATGGATGGCTGATTCTGCAACAGTGAGTGAAGTGATGGATGGCTGGTTATGCAACAGTGAGTGAAGTGATGGATGGCTGGTTCTGCAACAGTGGGTGAAGTGATGGATGGCTGGTTCTGCAATAGTGGGTGAAGTGATGGATGGATGGTTCTGCAACAGTGAGTGAAGTGATGGATGGGTGGTTCTGCTACAGTGGGTGAAGTGATGGATGAATGGTTCTGCAACAGTGGGTGAAGTGATGGATGAATGGTTCTGCAACAGTGGGTGAAGTGATGGATGGATGGATCATTCTGCAACAGTGAATGAAGTGATGGATGGGTGGTTCTGCAATAGCGGGTGAAGTGATGGATGGATAGATGGATGGTTCTGCAACAGAGAGTGAAGTAATGGATGGCTGGTTCTGCAACAGTGGGTGAAGTGATGGACGGATGATTCTGCAACAGTGAGTGAAGGGATGGATGGATGGTTCTGCAACAGTGGGTGAAGGGATGGATGGATGATTCTGCAACAGTGGGTGAAGGGATGGATGGATGGTTCTGCAACAGTGGGTGAAGGGATGGATGGATGGTTCTGCAACAGTGGGTGAAGGGATGGATGGATGGTTCTGCAACAGTGGGTGAAGGGATGGATGGATGATTCTGCAACAGAGAGTGAAGTAATGGATGGCTGGTTCTGCAACAGTAAGTGAAGTGATGGATGGCTGGTTATGCAACAGTGGGTGAAGTGATGGATGGACGGTTCTGCAACAGTGAGTGAAGTGATGGATGGATGGTTATGCAACAGTAGGTGAAGTGATGGATGGCTTGTTCTGCAACAATGAGTGAAGTGATGGATGGCTGGTTATGCAACAGTGGGTGAAGTGATGGATGGCTGGTTCTGCAACAGTGAGTGAAGTGATGGATGGATGGTTATGAAACAGTGAGTGAAGTGATGGATGGATGGTTATGAAACAGTGAGTGAAGTGATGGATGGATGGTTATGAAACAGTGAGTGAAGTGATGGATGGATGGTTATGAAACAGTGAGTGAAGTGATGGATGGATGGTTATGAAACAGTGATTAAAGTGATGGATGGGTGGTTATGAAACAGTGAGTAAAGTGATGGATGGGTGGTTATGAAACAGTGAGTAAAGTGATGGATGGGTGGTTATGAAACAGTGAGTGAAGTGATGGATGGCTGATTCTGCAACAGTGAGTGAAGTGATGAATGGATGGTTCTGCAATAGTGGGTGAAGTGATGGATGGGTGGTTATGCAACAGTGAGTGAAGTGATGGATGGCTGGTTCTGCAACAGTGAGTGAAGTGATGGATGGCTGGTTATGCAACAGTGGGTGAAGTGATGGATGGACGGTTCTGCAACAGTGAGTGAAGTGACGGATGGATGGTTATGCAACAGTAGGTGAAGTGATGGATGGCTTGTTCTGCAACAATGAGTGAAGTGATGGATGGCTGGTTATGCAACAGTGGGTGAAGTGATGGATGGCTGGTTCTGCAACAGTGAGTGAAGTGATGGATGGGTGGTTATGAAACAGTGAGTGAAGTGATGGATGGATGGTTATGAAACAGTGAGTGAAGTGATGGATGGGTGGTTATGAAACAGTGAGTAAAGTGATGGATGGGTGGTTATGAAACAGTGAGTGAAGTGATGGATGGGTGGTTATGAAACAGTGAGTGAAGTGATGGATGGCTGATTCTGCAACAGTGAGTGAAGTGATGGATGGCTGGTTATGCAACAGTGAGTGAAGTGATGGATGGCTGGTTATGCAACAGTGAGTGAAGTGATGGATGGGTGGTTATGCAACAGTGAGTGAAGTGATGGATGGGTGGTTATGAAACAGTGAGTGAAGTGATGGATGGGTGGTTATGAAACAGTGAGTGAAGTGATGGATGGGTGGTTATGCAACAGTGAGTGAAGTGATGGATGGGTGGTTATGCAACAGTGAGTGAAGTGATGGATGGGTGGTTATGCAACAGTGAGTGAAGTGATGGATGGGTGGTTATGAAACAGTGAGTGAAGTGATGGATGGGTGGTTATGAAACAGTGAGTGAAGTGATGGATGGATGGTTATGCAACAGTGAGTGAAGTGATGGATGGTTCTGCAACAGTGGGTGAAGTGATGGATGGATGGTTCTGCAACAGTGAGTGAAGTGATGGATGGATGGTTCTGCAACAGTGGGTGAAGTGATGGATGGATGGTTCTGCAAACAGTGATGGATGGATGGATGGATGGTTCTGCAACAGTGGGTGAAGTGATGGATGGCTGGTTCTGCAACAGTGGGTGAAGTGATGGATGGCTAGTTATGAAACAGTGGGTGAAGTGATGGATGAATAGATGGTTCTGCAACAGTGGGTGACGTGATGGATGGTTCTGCAATAGTGGGTGAAGTGATGGATGGATGGTTCTGCAACAGTGAGTGAAGTGATGGATGGCTAGTTATGAAACAGTGGGTGAAGTGATGGGTGAATAGATGGTTCTGCAACAGTAGGTGAAGTGATGGATGGTTCTGCAACAGTGGGTGAAGTGATGGATGGATGGTTCTGCAACAGTGAGTGAAGTGATGGATGGATGGTTCTGCAACAGTGGGTGAAGTGATGGATGGATGGTTCTGCAACAGTGGGTGAAGTGATGGATGGATGGTTCTGCAACAGTGGGTGAAGTGATGGATTGATGGTTCTGCAACAGTTAATGAAGTGATGAATGGATGGTTCTGCAACAGTGGGTGAAGTGATGGATGGCTGGTTCTGCAACAGTGGGTGAAGTGATGGATGGATGGTTCTGCAACATGTGATTGAGGCCCTGTTATGGCAAATTTTCGGCCTCAATAATTTGGGACCGTTTTACGGAGGATAGCCTTAGATAATATAACAAGAATGAGACTGTTAAACACGATTTGGACTGTTTAATGAGCGAGGTTTGTTTAAAGATGGGGCGGGGGGGGGGGGGGGTTCTACTTGAAGAAAGAACAGAAGTAGAAGAAGAAGAAAAGTTTCAATTTCAAGAAGAAGAAGAAAAGAAGATAAAGAAAGCAACACAGTATTAAAGCATCAAATGTAACAACGGTTATTTTATTTTAAAAGTCCAAAACAAGGAACTACTACAGTAACTACCTGTGTCGAAGACAGCACCGACAATTTCTGGATCTCTATTCTCTGGTGCCTGCCGAACTTCTTCACCTGGGGTATCCATTTTTGTGTTCGTCACGAAAAACTACAACCGCTGAATGTATTAACAAATCACATTTATAAACCGACGGTGAAAGAATAAAAAACAATATCCTTTGTTACTTTAATAGAAGTCGCGGATTTCAGGAATAATTACTTCAAAATTAAAATGTAAAGCCTTCGTTGCCAACTGCACGTCACCATTACTTGAACCGTGCGTGGTTTCTTCTTGCAAAGAGTTCGACAGTTGGGTAGCTGAATGTAAACTTTACGTGGAGAGAACGTTTGTTGACAAACAACGTACACGTATTTCTATCTCTTTAATCCGGACATAACATGAACCATCGCAATAGTCGTCGTCATAGCTGTAGTGGTGGTGGTGGTTATGGTAGTAGTACTAGTTGTGGTAGCAGTAGTGATAGAAGTTGTACTAGTTGTAGTAGTAGTGGTAGTTATGTAGTAGGGGTGGTGGTTGCTGCAGCAGCAGTAACAACAACAGTAGTAGCAGCAGCAGCAGCAGTAGTAGTAAAATCAATAATATTGGTAATAGTGGCGGCGGTGGTGGTTGCAACAGCAGCAGCATTAGTAGTAGTAGTAGTAGTAGTAGTAGTAGTAGTAGTAGTAGTAGTAGTAGTAGTAGTAGTAGTAGTAGTTGTTGTTGTTGTTGTTGTTGTGGTGGTCGTGGTAGTAAGGCTTGTGATGGCAGTACGAGTGCTGATGTACTCACAAACAACATTTAGGTGGAGCTGCCTACACAGAAAAATTATCTCATTTCACAAGTGGTAATTCTTTGTAGGGTAGCCTTTTTTAATGTACAAATTGGTAGCACTGGTAGAACTGTTGGTATTATAATGTTTCATCATCATCATCTGGCGGTCTCCGTGGCGAAGTAGTAAAGCTGAACTGAAGGGCTCTGTCGTAAAACGAACCCACGACTATTAGAGCAGCTGAAGGTCGAGGGTTAGCTTTACGACTGAGCCCTTTAGTTCAGGGGTGCACATTTTAGGGATATTTTGGGGTCGTCGCCGGAGCTATGCAGTTCGTGCTTTGTGTGGCTAGCCGTTTTGTAGAGAGAGAGAGAGAGAGAGAGAGAGAGAGAGAGAGAGAGAGAGAGAGAGAGATATCGGGTCATATCAGATAAAATCAGATGCAATGAAGTTGATCCTCTGGATTTTAACTTTAACATCAACATCAAAGCAATGCAAACGAATATCTTTCCCTTAAACACATCCACTTATCAATCAGCAGGTGCTTTAATAAAAGAACATCGATCTCTTTCCGGCAACACCCGCAAGTCTCTCTTTGTCTAAACAACTCTCCAGCTCTATGCGGCCCCACGGCCAACAGCATCTTCAGCGTCTTGTATCCACGTTCGGAGAGGTCTCCCTAAGCATCATTTTCCGGAAACTACCCTTCATCGCCGCGTTTCTTCCAGGCCACCATGACAATTAACATGGCCGAAATACCCCAGCAAGATGTTTAATGTTGAATTAGGAATCGACATCACAACACTCGAGACACTCCTATAATTGCTCCTTTCCTATCTTCAACTGCAAGCGAAGAGTTCTAATTCCGATGGTACCAGTAACCGTCTGATTGTATATCTATCTCATCCTGAGTGTTGAGCGTCGGCCAGATCTCCCGGTAACGCTTCGTAGCGCTATTCTCCTCAGACCGTAATGATCTATCAGCGCCTCTGCACTGTTCACTCGTTCCGAAAGGGCCCTCACAATATCTAACTTGTCATACATCAATTCACTACTAAGTGGTGCAAAGCCAGTCAATCTATCTACCTGCTCATTTCCCAACGCACCGGCAAGACCTGGAGAAAATATCCAAAGAACGCTAACTACCAAGGGACTCTAAAGTGATGCTTGCCAACTCTGCACGAAGTATGCCTGTTTTCACCTTCCTTAACATGCTCTGTGAGTCGGTTACAATCACGGTATGTGTATCAGCAGGATGTTGTTTACCAGCCAGTTCTCCCGATGTTGAGATTATGTGTTCGGTATGGATAAAAAAGATTCCACTACATTGTGTGTGTGTGTGTTTGTTTTTTCGATATCCCTTCTAGCCTTCTAAAAGATTATTACTAAAGACTCAAAGAACCCATCTTCGGGTAAGAAACAACCATTGTCATTCTCATCACCTTTGACTGTTGCCGTTAAGCGAGTAGGAAGGAACAGTTTGTTACCCATTGCTTTATGGGTTGTAGTGGCTATTGTCATTCTATACCGATATAGAAGGCAGACATAGAAAATGATGATGTTGATGAAGGGAAGCTTTCGAGCGTGCCGTGACGAAAGCGAAGTACCTCGGAGAGCCTTCATGTTTTGGTTAAGTTCCCAGTAGCGTTCTCAGTAGCGTTCCCTGTAGCGTGGCACCGTAAAATGATGAGCATGTGCTCCAACACTGACAGCAGTATGCTATCAACAGAAAAATAGTCGGGCCTATTCCAACCACAGTGGAGACAAGGCTGTGTGGTAAACGAGGAGATATGGACTACACGATAGCTTTCATAAACGCAAGTATGTTGTTTAACCCCACCAGGACCGTACAACTAGCAACCGTTGACACAAATTGCCATCATTTGGATGAGGATCACCCGGGCACAGGTCCCTAAAACCCCATGAAACCCTTAGGGCTCAGCCGAATAGGGGCTTTAAAATAACGAAAAATTGCGTCCTACGCTGGTATTTAATAAAATCTTCTATGAAGTGAGTAAGTAAATTGTACCCCACCAGGACATTACACAGAGAGATAAAACACCCGGTGACACAAAGTGAAAGCTACCGGCCTCCTTCTGTTTCTGACAGAAGGATCGAAGAAGAAGATTTACGATGAATGTGTCAACAGCAGAAACAAAAAAAAATATGGAGGGGATATTATTAGCTGGTACTCATGTGCATCGTTCATTTAGATGATGATGATGATGATGATAATTAGTGATACCAATGATGAACGCATTCTGCACATTGCACATCATCACAAGAAAACATCAAATACTGCATCAACGTGCATTCATTAAAGGGACGTTACAACATGTTCCTAGCCCAATTGTTAACATTTTCTTATCTCCCTTGCACTCTACTTTTTAAATTGATGGCAGGTAGGTTGGTATTTAAACGGCTGAAGAGGTTTATTATGATGATGATGATGATGATGGATGATACCAATGATGAACGCATTCTGCACATTGCACATCATCACAAGAAAACATCAAACACTGCATCAACGTGCATTCATTAAAGGGACGTTACAACATTTATAACATTTTCTTATCTCCCTTGCACGCTACTTTTAAAAGGTAAGTTGGTGTTTCAACGGCTAAAGGGGTTTATGATGATGATAATAGTGATGATGATGATGATGTACAAGATATTTAAAGAATATCATGGAAGGATAGAAAGAAAAAAAAGCCACCGAAACAGCTCTCTTCGAGACAGATGAACGTTCTAGACTTATTAGAGCAGTTACATTTAGACAGTAAAATTTTTTTTTTTTTTTTTTTTTTGGGGGGGGGGGGGGGGAGGGGAGGCATGTTTTAGGAATGAAATGGATTCTGTCCGTATTCCATAGTCGTGGATTTCAGGCTGTACGATAGACATGGCCAATGAGACACCTTTTTTGGGGGGTGCCTAGTTGACCATGTATCTTAGTGCACTTGTATTCATGGCGAGGCGCAGACGCCGTCTGGAGGTGACAGGTTCAATTCCCGGCACGGTAACTATAGCTTTCGATATTTATGTTGTCTAGTGTGTTCTTCTATCTTTCTACTTCTTTCTATGAGTGCCGTTCACAATACTTTCTGTTACTTGATTAATTCATAATATTTAACGGCCTCAAATGGTTCCCCCACCCTCCCCCTCCCCCCTCTGTTTATTTTTAGGAAGGAGGGGATTCAAGAAGTTTGTAAAAACTAGCAACACAGATAGAAAGAGCCCCACCCCCCCCCCCACCCCCCCCCCCCCCCCCCCCCCCCCCCCGTCAAAACGTCACAGAGAAAAATCCCTGGATGGTCTGGCCACATGAGTGAGTGGAGCTTGAAAACATTGTCCTGATCCGTGGTCCTGGTGATCGTGTAAGATGGCGAAACATGACAGCCTACACTTACGACCAGGACACATGATGATGATGATGGTGACAAGATAGTTGAATAAATCAAAGCAATTTTTATTCGTTGTAAATTTAAAAAAAAAATACAAACAAGCAATAGACTGCTAATTTTGAGAACTCATTTATTCCAACAATTGTTGCTGTAGTGTGCATCTGACGAGGTACAGCGAAATATGCCAGACAATAAATTGTGCCGTCTGATGTTTGTGTAAATTAAAGTTTTAAGAGTATGTAATTTCCCCGTAGCAACATACGGATGTAAGTCGTGAACTATCTCCAAGTCCTTTCATCTCCTTGTGAGATGCAATTTTTCGTTATTTGAAGCCCTATTATGGCTCTTGCCGTGGGCCGCAGTATAGCCCGACCGATATGGTCTAATGACTGAACGCAGTTTCTGGGACCTCTCCACGGGTGATCCTCATCCACATGGTGGTACTTTGTGTCATCGGGTGTTTATCGCTTGTGTGATGCCCTAGTGGGGTAGAAAGTCAGTCAGTCAGTCAGTCC